CAATTATTGATATACCATGGTTAATTGATCTATCTACGATGATATAATTGAAAGATTTCAAAATTAATATGATTTCATTATACTGACATTCATAGTTCTCATGATTACACTCCTGACATGTTGGATGATTTCAAATTGTCATGAAACTGATACAGTAGTGTTTATTCACCATAAGTAAGGTACTGTAACAATTTCATAATGATCTGTATAGTGGATGTCATTGTCACATCCCTGTAGGTATCAAGTGGAACAGCCATGTACCATGTATAATATGGATGAATGTCAAAATGATATTAATGTATTTAATTATCATGTATATATGTATTGGAAGTGAATTGAAGTGGTAAAGATTTCTATCTTCAATGTTAGTATTGGTCAGTTGACAAGTTGAATAGCAAATATCCTGAAATGATACCAAAGTATCTGAAATTGATATACATTGTTGCTAACATGATTTATAATGTGATATATTGATTTGAAATGGTTTTGAAATGGTTTCATTGATATTCTAATTGTCTAATCTATTATTTGAAATTAACTTATATAAGTCATTATAATGATATAATATTATGTTATAATATGATTATATATTCAATTTGGAGTATATTGATATATAATATATTGATTTATAATGAGTATTTATTGAGATAATGAATTAAGATGAATAAAAGTCAAAATGTTGGGTCTGACCTTAGTCGTGGGTTGGGTTTGGGTTTGGGTTTGGGTTTGGGTTTGGGTTTGGGTTTGGGTTTGGGTTTGGGTTTGGGTTTGGGTTTGGGTTTGGGTTTGGGTTTGGGTTTGGGTTTGGGTTTGGGTTTGGGTTTGGGTTTGGGTTGGGTTTGGGTTTGGGTTTGGGTTTGGGTTTTTGGTTTGGGTTTGGGTTTGGGTTTGGGTTGGGTTTGGGTTTGGGTTTGGGTTTGGGTTTGGGTTTGGGTTTGGGTTTGGGTTTGGGTTTGGGTTTGGGTTTGGGTTTGGGTTTGGGTTTGGGTTTGGGTTTGGG